CGACATCTTGATTGTCAATCATCTTTAGTCCAACCTTCTCTTTGCAACACATTTGATGGAGTGCAATAGTAGAAATATGCATCAACTGCTACGTAATGAAATCTGAACTGTACATGGACAATAATTATATAGGAAAGATAGTCAATGACAACGGAGTCTTTGGTGTGCACTTCATCTCACAGTCGATAAATAGCAACATCGTCCGAACTATTTCTAAAAACAACAACACCTCCTTCAAACCCGACCAGAAAGCGGACCTTGAGCGTCCATGCCCATATGGATTTTGCCACACACTTGATGTCCCAAATATTTCAACCTCCACAATTGGATTCATAGGAACAGCAACCATGGAAGTGCAAGAAGCTGAGAGAGGCATATGAAGAACAAAAGGCATTGATGCATGGAGAAGAGGAACCAATGGCGCATAGGGTGCAGAGAATGAGGAGTGAGGTACCAGTGCCTAGTAACTAAGGAATACTATCTGAATACTATCATTACTACCATCACTGTCATTACTTAGTACTTACTAAGTTCCTATCATTTTAACGGATGAGGATTACTCACGCGACCAAGGAAGCCTGAAGCTGGAGCAAGTAACCAACCAGACCCCTATTGGGCCACTCACGGAACCGGATGGGGCGGACTGCCACTCTCGCAGCGACCGTGGGAACCCGAATGAAAAGAAGAATCAGAAAGGATGACAAGCATCATCGAGGAAGAAGTTGTTGAATCACTTGCACAAACAAAAGAGCCACCACCTCCTAAAGAAGGACCCCAGCTCTTGTCCATCACAGGCAACAAGATCCAGTATAATCGTATCCTAGCTATAATCGTATAGCCAACTGACTGGTCCCATTCCTGAGGAAATTGGAGCCATGCTCTACCTCACCAGACTGTCAGTAGCTCTCCACCCCAGCTCATTGCAACCTTTCCGTTCTTTTCCTTGCCCATCCATTACCACCCGCCACCCATCTCGGCTAGTTATGCCCTTTCTTGCCCACGAACAGCAAGGTTCAGTGCATCCGGGGTGCCAAAAAGCGGCTGATTTTATTTGGAAATTTACCTCACTTTGTTTCTTTCACCCAGTCATTCCTCCTCCACCCTACCTGCACGCCTTTCTCCCAGTAATCTTTCAGACAATCAGCTCTCAGGCACCATCCCTGCGACACTGAGTGGACTCTTTCAAATGCAAATTCTGTGAGCTGCACTTACATTATGGTGCTTGCAGCGTTCACCAGAAATCCCCACTTCTTACATTTTGAACATAATCTTCAAGAGAGAACACATCACCGAGCAAACGATCTCGCCTACTGCTATGAGTTGCATGTGTGGCGAGCCACGAGTCTGGCATGAATGACGATCTAGCCAGTAGTCCGTGACCGGCGCAACCCTGAAATCGTCGTGTGACTGGCCAGTACCAACTAGGCCTCACCAGGGTCTAACCTCCTCCTCCTTGCAACCTGCCCTTTCCCAGCCCATGCCTATGCCTGGAATGAGCCCATTTCCCCTCGCCTTCCTCTGCCCCTCTCACACTACCACTGGTCCAAATATTCCAGTCTGAAGCACAGGCTTTTACTTCCACCCTCCACTCCCTTGTCTCTGCTGTTCCTCCAGCGAACTGAGTTCCAACCAACTGACCGGTACCATCCCAGCAGAGATTGGTGCCATTCTCGCCCTCATCAGCCTGTCAGTCACGCTCCACCCCATCTCATTGCAACCTTTTCAATCCCTTCCTAGCCCGTCCTTTACCACCATCACCCACCCTGGCTATCCCTGCCCGTTCTTCCCCACCCACACCACAGTAATGTCCGGTCCGGTACATCCCCCTGCCTTCAGTTGTGTTTGGTATAGTTAGCCTTCAATCTCAGCTTTTGCATTGGAAATTTTCATACCCTGAAATTGCGTAGTTGTAGTTTCTGTGGGTTGGGTGTTACACTCAGCATCCTAATTTCACTCAGTACCCGATTCCATCTTTTGCAGCAACCCACCCATGCCTCCATCAGCGACTGAACCTGAATGACACACTCCACATGCTCCACTCCACACTTGTGGTCCACACTCCACTCCTTACTTCTGGTTCATACTCCACGCATACTTTACACTCCTTCCTTCATTTGTCTGTCATTTCTTCCCTTGGCGTCACCTTGCTGACCTCCTATACTGCAGAGGCCTTCATTCCAATTACCTCTTGGGTCCCATCCCGTCTTCCATTGCCTCACTGCTCTATCTCAGTGCTCTGTGGGTGCCGTTCCAACAAGTCTGCCACCGTGGCTGCTAATCCACCCACACCACGTCAAGCCCGATTCTCTTTACTTTAATAAGCCGAATTAATACTGCCAAAAGTCAATGCTACGTCCTTTTTTTCCGTAGTCCACCCTCCAATTGTCTGTCTCTACACTATCTCCCACAGCGACCTAAGCTTCAACCAGCTGGCCGGTCCCATCCCAGAAAAGATTGGTGCCATGCTCGCCCTCACCAGACTGTCAGTCGCTCTGCACCAGTAATAGTTGCACACTTTCCATTCCCTCCCTGGCTATCCAGACTGGATATACTTAAAGAGCCTTCAGCTCATTACCTAATATGTCCAGTCAACCCTAGTGTTTTATCGTGTTTCTCTCGCTCGGTTGTTCCTCCTCTGCGCTGCCCACCTTTCTTCCAGTGATCTTTCCGACAACAAGCTCTCAGGCACCATCCCTGCGACGTTAAGTGGACCCACTCAACTGGAATTCCTGTAAGCTGCACTCACATTATGATGTATGCAGTGTCTGGCACACATTTGCACCACTTACTCACATTTGGTACTCGCCATAAATATAAATATATTTTCAAAACCTGTGCTGTTGGGCATTTCTTCCCTTTGCCAGTCGCCCTTGTTTTTCCATGGCCATCCCTGAATACCCTCGCCGCTCGCTTGTGATTTTGGAAATTTGAACCTCTCTGCCCACAGGTTTGATACTCAACAACAATACGTTCGTAATGAAATCAAGCAAACATTCATCCAGTGGTCTTTTCTTTCCCATGGTGTGTCATGTTTCACTTCCATTGGCCAGTCTTGAACACACCTGCATTCCCTGCAGGTTCCAGCCCACACACACCATAGTACTGTTTTGTGTATCCCGCCTTTCCGCCTCTCTTCACTCATCCCTGCTGTCGCTCATTCTTTTGTCGTCTGTCCCGCATGCTTCTCCCAGTGATCTTTCGAACAACCAGTTTTCAGGCAGCATCCCTACGGCCTTGGGTAGACTCGCTCGAATGGCATCCCTGTGAGCTCAATTTGCCTGGAGCATGTAGTATCCACCACACATGTGATATAACATTGAGAACCTGGCAAAAGTTATTGCTACTACACACATAGCCCGTATTGATGCATCAGTTGCAGCACGCACATTTAGCCAAAAAACGTTCAACGTGCAGCAAGTCATGACCATCTAACCTGCTGATATCAAAACATCATCCAACTAAGCAAGCTTTCGCCAATCGGGTATTGCCTCACTTGGCACACTTGGCATGCTTCTTAGCCGATGAATACGAACCACCCTAGTAAACCTGTATGACACACTTGGCATGCTTCTTAGCCGATGAAGACGAACCCCCATTCTGGTTCCACATACACAACACTGCTTCCTAGTTTTGTCGCTCACTTCTCCCCTTGGCGTCGTCACGCCCCCCTCCCATGATTCAGGAACCTTTATTTCAACAACCTCACGGGTGCCATTCCTCCCTCCATTGCATTGCTGCGGAATATCAATGCTCTGTGGGTGCCCTGCTGCCACTGCAAGTCTGCCACTGCTGCTGCTGTGCCTATCCGCTGTGGCTGTTGCTCCTCCCACCACGTCCACCCCAATGCTATATATATATTCGGGAGCTCTATTCGTGTACCATTCTAAAAGCCTTTTTGACGTCACCACTGCTCCCGTTCCACCTTACACTCCCCTGTCCCTGCTGTTCCCCCAGCGACCTGAGCTTCAACCAATTGATTGGTCCCATCTCCACAGAGATTGGTGCCGTGCTCGCCCTCACCAGGCTGTGAGTCATTCTCCACCACACCTCGTCGCAACAATTCCCTTCCCCGCACGTGCACATTCTCTCACCATTGCTATCCCTGCTCGTCCCTACAAGTGACATCATATGTTAGAATTAGGCTGTCAACACTTTGTGTACTCTATTTTTCATTCATTAGGTTATTTGTGGGTTGGGTGTGGATTTGTAATCCCAACACTATCCGGTTGGGATTCCCCCGTAATCCAACAAATCTGCCAACTTACCATTATAGATTTTCTTGGACTCCCATTTCATCCTTTCTCTAGCTCTGCTCAACCCAACATTGTTTGTAATTAAAGCCTAGTGCCTTTTATTCGAATCAATTAGTTCAAGCTCTATTTCTATCATCATAGTCCTGTGCTTCCCACCCCCTCACTCGTGTTCTTCTCTCTTTCTTCCTCTCCCATGCCCGTTGCTCCTGTGCCCTGCTTGTCTTTCTTCCAGTGATCTTTCGGACAACCAGCTTTCAGGCAGCATCCCTGCAACCTTGGGAGGACTCACTCAAATGGCTTCTCTGTGAGATTCCACACACCATTATTTTTAGGTGCATGTGTGCAAGTGAGCTTCCCAGTAGTCAGCGACGAGCCATGAGTCGGGCAACCCTGAAATCGACGTGTCACGGGCCGGCCCCACCTCGGCCTCACCAGGGTCAAACCTCCTCCACCTCCTTGCGACCCGCCCTGCCCATGCCTTGCATCAGCCCATGGCCCGTTCCTCATGAGCCCCCCAGATGCCTCTCACCCTTGCTCTGTGTCTCTCACTCACTCTACTCCTGTTTCTGCTCTTCCACTCTGTAGCATAAGCCTTCGGCCTTGGCATTTCAATCCCGTTGCCATTCTCTTTCAGGATGTTAACCAAAAATCAGCTCACCGGCTCCATACCTCGATCTTTCGATGCCAACTGCTTCACACTGCCTACTGACTGTGCGCTGGTGCTGCAGCGGAAAGAGGCAGAATGCAATGCCTTCTGTGGCGTCTCCTCTGTTGCCCCTTCGACCTCCACTAGTGCAAGTGCTGCTGCTGCTTGTGGTGGCAGAGGGGTGTGCCTTCCAGGCCGGGCCGGATCAGCCCCAAGCTGTTTGTGCAGTGCAGAATTCGTCAAGTATCAAAGGATCAACTGTGTTCCTGAACGTAAGAAGCTCTCTTATTCTTGAAATCATAACGAGATCACATGGGCCCTATCACACGGGTACTTTTTTCTGCAATAGGCTTCTAGTTGTACCATGAAGGTGCCCTGTGGTGTGGTGGCACCTCATTGCATTGTCCATCCATACACTGCACTATTCACTAATTATGCTCTCCTACTTCCCTCATAACATGTGGCAGTCTACTAGACTGCTGCATCACATCTCCCTCGTGCCATATCCTGCTTTGCATTATGCCCTCTTGGATGTCACAAAAGTGCTTCTTTTTCCTATGCAAAGAAGGCTAACTAATTCTCGTGCAAACTCACATCACTAGCGCTTTCCATTACTGGAGAGTGTCACTTCCCTTTCCTTCTCAGTGTTGGTCATAATGAAGGTTTTTTCATGCCCCCCGCGTGTACGCAGCCAAAGGTGCAAGCGGTGCAATTGTTTCGCCAGCAACTGTGCTCACCAAGGGGACAAAGGCGGAGACAAAGGGGGTCTTCACCGCAGATCCGGTGACTCTGTTTGTGTACGAGCCAGGGCAGGCGGTGTCGGGATGTGGGGTGCAGCTGGCCTTCCATGTCACCTTCACCTTTGTTCTTTCAGCTCAAACAACCTTTTACCTGGGCCACAACGGCTTTGCCTTTGTCTTCTCGGCAACAAACTGGGTGGGGAGCGGCTCTGGTGTGGGGTATGGTGGAATGGACAGCCGGAGCATGGCGATTGAGTTTGACACTCTGACGAACAAGGAGCATGGTGACATACCCGGCCAGCATGTGGGGCTGAATATACGAGGCCAGGACAGATCGTTAGCCGCTGTAAATCCGCCATTCAGAATGAAAAACAAGAAGGCATACACAGCGTGGGTGGACTATGAGCCTGGGGAGCCCGGCACCATCCAGGTGTTCTTGGCTGCTTCTGAAGTGAAGCCAGCGCAGCCGCTGCTGGAGAGGAGGCTGGCGCTGTGTGAGGTGCTGCAGGCTGGAGCAGAGCAGCCGGCGTTCTTCTTTGGCTTTGTCGCGCCCACCACTGTGAAGGCCTACCAGATGCAAGTCATCTTAAAATCGGCTGTGCACATCAGTAAGGACAGCCCCATTCCTTGCTCCTACAACCCTCAGCCTGTTGTCATAGTCTTAGGCATAGCACAAGCACAGCTGTGCCTACAGCAGGTGTGTGAGCGATGGATTTGGCATCGTGTCTCGATCTGTCGAATGGTTCACGGCACATACCAACACCACATGCCCACTATGGCCTCCTTCTGCCTCTCGTTTCTGCCCCTTTCTGCAGGCCTTCTTGCTCAACCAGATCCCATAAGCATCACTCCAGGTAAGGATGGCATGAATGGTGGAAAACTGTAAGCATGCTGAAGTACCTGTATGTCACAGACCATGGAGGTCCTCGTTGTTCATTTCTGCTCTTGTTTTCCATATCTCGGTTTTTTTTTGTTTTGTGGTACAGTGCGCACATAATGGGAGCTCTCTCACTCCCATTTCATTAACTTGCGCTGCTATGAAGAAGTTCAGTAACACATACATGCATATCCACTCCCATATCCACTACGCTCTCTGCCAAAACCCACCGTGTTACATCCAGGGTTTGGCCTCAGGGAGCCAGTCCCTTCATGCGCTACATGAGTGCGGATTACCTAGCGCCATCTGACCAGCTCGACCCGTGGCAAGTCAGCGGCTCCCATTCCTGGGACTCCATGGCGTTCCTTGGCTGGCCAGTCAAGAACCAGAACGGCTGCAGTGAGTGGGGATGAGAAAAAAAAAAGGCAATATATCGTTGGGGCCAGATAATTTCTGTGATGTTTTGTTAATTATTTGTGACTGGGTTATTACAAGTGAGGGAGACTAGTCAACAGCATTGATTGCAGTCTGTTAGGAATGGTTCCTTCTGATTCCTTTCCTACACGTCCCACAACCCTTTCCAGATGCAAGCTGGGCGTATGCGGTGGTGGCAAGTGTGGAAGCAGCGTACGGCATTGCACTGAATCAGCAGGCTCCACGGCTGTCAGTGGAGTCACTCTTTGCAGCCATGGGGCTCACCCCAGCAGCCAAGTGCAGGGCAGGCGGCTCTCCTGCCGCGGCCTTTAAAAAGCTTCTCACCCTGTCCAATGGTGGCCTCACAACGGATAGCAAGCGGGTAGGAAACAAAATCTGTGCGAAAAATCCGTGCAATTCAGCACACTCATTGAGGACAGAGGGGTTTAGAGCTACAACCTGCCAGTACATGCAGTTTAATGTTCTCCCTGAACCCTGGCATTTCCTCTTCTTATACGGTTCTCCATTACCTTCCAACTACTTATGTGTTCTTCGTCCGCAGCCAAAAAAGTTCCCTATTCAGGGTTTTGAGCGCACGCGGTTCAAGGGGTATGTGGGGCTCATGCTGGCAGTGCAGCGGCAGCCAGTGGTGGTTCACATCGAGGCATCTGCTGCCTCGTTCATCGAATATGACAGGGTGGGTACTGATCGTGTGAAATCATCCTGAGCGTTCTTCCTTGTGGGCATTCTTGTGGTTGTTGACATTTTGTGAGAACATGGTTTGTGGTGAGTGCTTCAAAAGTACATGCTTGTCTTTATCAACCAAGTACCTGGTGACTTTGTGGAAACTTGATACTAGCTTTAAATGATGCCGGATCGTTTTGTCGTCGAGTGCCATACTGAACCCATATAGTTGGCTGCATCATTCGTGTACCTGTATGTGTGTCACCCCACCCCCTTCCCAGAACTCGAAGTATCAGGATCCTACCTTCTATACTGACAACCTGAACCATGCTGTACTCGTTGTTGGGTACATCGTTTCAACAACTGATGACCGCCAAAGCACCATTGATCTGCCGTTTTGGATCATCCGCAACTCGTGGGGACTGGATTGGGGAGACCGGGGCCACATGCGCATGGACATTCAGGGAGGGGATGGCGTGTGTGGCATCAACATGCTGCCTGGCATCTATCCCATTGTCAAGAGTGAGTAATCTAACCCCCCATATCAAGGCATCAGTGATGCTTTACCCCATTGTAAACACTTCAAAGGAGTGGGTGCTTGCTTCCATTCATCGGTTCTTCAGCATACACACTTTCACATTACCTAAAATCGGTCACTCTCTTGACTGAAAGGAATCAAATTACACTCCCTCGATTGTCGTTTCCATCTACCCTCCAGTTTCCAAGGACCCTTGTGGCCCGAAGAGCTTCAAGAGAACTGGCGATCTGCAGCCAACTATGAACCCTTGTGGTCACTTCACATGCCTTGTAAACACGAAAACCAAGAGCACTACCTGCAACTGCACCATTCCTAAAGAGGACAGCCAACCTTTTGTTGAGGTGGCGAATGGAGTTAATTCCAACACATGTGCATATGGTGAGTGATTCCTACTTATTCCCGGCACGTGTGTTGGACCTTCAGTTCAATGTGCTTCTGTACAACCAGTATGAAGGTTTCGTAAGGTGCCAATGCATCCACAAAATGTTTTGATAACAATAAACAATTTCTATCATAGACATATCACTTGCATTTATGCTTCATTCTGAATAACCATCCTTTGCCGGCCATATCCATCCCACTGTCAACCCAACAGTTTACATGTGCAGTTCGTTCTCTATCAACCCCTGCGCTACGGGCACATGCATCAACAATGGCAAGGGCGCCTACTCCTGCATCTGCCCTCCCAACTACGTTGAAAGCATAACCGTTGACATCTCCCCCACCTGCGACCCAGGTGCTGCTAGTTTGGCCTCACCCACGCATTTGATGCATTTATATGGGTTCCTTGGCAGCCTGCAACAAGCACTGTCCATTACCATCCACCATGATGACATGACAACCTCATCTACCATCCCCCTGTAAGTTCCCCTCCTTTTACGTGCTCCCTTATTTCCTCCCTGCAGTCAACACCACAACCTCCACCTTGACAGTTACTGGTGCCAATTGGTGGTGCTCAGATGTCTTTCCTACTGTCGGCCTCGCATTGGCTAGCACCCCAGTGGAAAACATGGTGAGACGGCGGAATATTCAGGCACTGTTGCATGGAGGGAGATGGGCAATTGGTGGACAAGGGTTAGGAGTCAGGATGGGGTTGTGATATGTTCTCCTAAAAACCGATGCCTTTTTGTCAGCGGGGTGGTGGCAATGTGTGTAGCTCTAACTCGTTACCCATCCATTGTGTTGCAGGGCGTTAATTGCAGCCAGCCTTTGCCTCAGGGCAAGGTGATTCAGCTAGGGAGCATCCCCACCACCCCGTGCACTGCCTTCTACTATGTCCTCAATGTGAGTCCAAGGTTCTTAGCAGGACGCAGAGGGAAATGGAAATTATCCGTTTTCGATGTAGCAAGGAGAAGCATCAACAACCCATCTCCTCCCCCCAACATACCCCCACCCCACACACGACCTTTTTGAATGTTATATTTGTCCAGTCACCACCATACGCACTATTCTTAAATCCGGGTACTGCATCATAACGCTCAATATCAGAAATTGCCCACAACCCATCTCCTGCCTTCTCTCCCATCACTCAACACTCCAGGGTGACACGTGCTCCTCCATCAGCGCCCAGCTGGGACTCGCATCAACTGAGCTTGCCACTCTCAATTCAGGCCTGGATTGCTCTAAGCCCATCAAGGCAGGCCGTTCTCTCTGCCTCGAGCGCAACTCCACCTTTGCCTTCACCGTCCCACAGTGCTTACAGTACGGCATGCTCACAGCAGAGGACACGTGCGAGCAGCTGCTGCTGCTGAGCATGCAGTCTGGTGTGGATGAGTCGGCAGGAGCTGATGTGGTGAATGCAGCAAGTCCTGGCCAATCAACTGGGGATAATCCCGTGGGTACTGGTCCCTGGATTGAGCTCTACCGGAACAATCCCGGCCTCGTCTGTCCTCGCACCAACCCTGCCTCCAATGCCACTCTTTCCAGCATGACTAGCATACAGGTGAGAGGGGGAAGACCAGAACAATTAATAGGCATGAAATTGTCCTTTGTATATAGGTATATATATTGTGCTTCCTATGTTTATGTTTTTCACTTGTGTTTCCACTGTGTGCATCCATCTCATATCACAGGTGTGCCTTCAGGCAGACTACGAGCCCTTCAGTGCTCACAGCTGCAAGATTGGAAGGATCAAGGCAGTGTCACCATCTCTGACATGTGCAGGTGCTTTCAGCCTCTTCAGTGGAGCACAGGCGGGAACGGTCACAGATTTTTACAAATACAATCTAAAGACATGCTTGGGGACTGTAGACTCAAGTTTTATTTGTGTTCCATAGTCAGACACCTTGGTTTTTAGAGGAGCGTCAATTAAGTTACTATACTTGTGGCAGAACATCGGCTCATAGGCTGGTGACATACATTTGGCAGATATCGTACTCTACATTGTCCCTGTTATGAGTCTGCCATCCTACTCGCAATCTGGTCCACCTCAATTATTTTCCATACCAAGATTCACTTTGCACAAATAGTTTTGTAATAAATTTACGCACGTTATCTAAGGTGGTGGTAGGTTTTTGTTTCAAGGCTGATCTTGCAGAGATAACTCTGCAATTTTCACAGAGGGATCTCTGCGTTCGTTCACTTAGTCGTTTGCTCGTGTGTTCTCTGCTTGCACATCCACGGGGAGACTTTGCAAGAGTTTCACTAGTAAAGATTGACAACAATGATACAGAATGATAGCAACAACGTTGGCAACACAGACTACATCAGAGCTAGCTAGGCTGTTGGTCGACCTCCAGCGCAGCACGGTCGACCGCGTTCCAGCGCAGCAATGCTCGCACCGCTCCAGCGCTGCAGAGATGCGGCGCGCCAACGTTGCATGTCCACGGTGTGCCAGCGCTGCAGCAAGTCGGCTACACAGCGTTGCACCCGCAGGACAACGGTGCACCTGCTTCGCAGGTGTGCGCAGCTGGTTGGCGTCCAACGCCCCGTCACGTGCCCAGCGCAGACATTCCCGCCCGTGACGGCGCCCATCAGCCACGTCGACCTCGGGATACCACCCCCGAGGTCGTCCTCGCAGAAACCACCCCCGGCGACCTTCGCACACGTCGCCCGGGTATCCCGGCCAACCGGGCAACCCCGCCTGGTCGTCCAGCCCAGTCGGTCGCCGGCTACACCAAGCCCGGCGCCCCAAGGTCGGCGTCCTGGCGTCCAGGACGCCGAGCAGACGCCCAGGACGGCGTCCAGGCGCCCAGGACGCCGAGCAGACGCCCAGGACGCCGCCCAGACGCCAAGGACGGCGTCCACCTGCTCGGCGCCCTCCAGCTAGACGCCCCCCCAACTCAACACCCTTGCAGTGGCCTTTGTGCCCACTGCCGCAGGTCGGCTGCATCACCCCTGTACACCCGACCACGAGGTCGGCTCCGCCCAAGCGAGGACGGGGCCGAACACAACTCCCGTTGACACTCCCCTGCCGCGTTCACGCTTGGGCCCCCAGCCCACACGGCAGCACCGCTCGGGGAACAGCTCGGCGGCGTGCACACAACACACAGCACGCCAGATACCACACCAGCCATGTAAGAGGGCATGGCACGTCGTTATCGCCATCGCCGACCTCGGTCAGGCGCACTTGGCTGATCGTGACGGAGCACCGGTTGAAGGCCGGGTAGTGCAGCGCCTTCGTCAGGAAGTCGGCCGGCTGCTCAGCGGTCGGGATGTACTGCAGCGAAAACTTCCCCCGCTTCACCATGTGCTGCAGCCAGGCCTGTCGCCGCTCCATGTGCTTGAGGTTGCCCGTCAACCCCATGCCCTCGGCGACCGTGATGGCCGACTTGTTGTCCACCCGAAGGACAGTCGGCTTCCCGGCGTCCAGCTGCCGGAACTCTGCCAGGAGGAAGCGAAGTCGGCGTCCTTCCTTCCCAGCGTCAACTGCCGCCACGTACTCCGACTCGGTCGATGACAGCGTCGCGCACTTGATGCGCTGGCTCGACCAGGAGACTGCGGCCCCTCCGTAGACGAACACGTAGCCGCCCGTGCTCGTCCGATTCTGCTTGTCGCCGGCGTCGTCGGCGTCAACGTAGCCGACCAGCTCCAGCGTCTCCGGACCACCGCCAAACTCCAGGGCGGTGTCGCACGTGTTGGCGAGGTAGGCGAGGCAGCGGTCGACCTCGCGCCAGTGCTGGTCACTCCTCAATGTGAGTCCGCTCCCCAGCTTGCTGCAGGCGAAGGCGATGTCCGGCCTCGTCGTCGTCACGAACTGCAGCGAGCCGACCTGCTGCTGGTACTCTTCCTGGCGTTCCTGCGCCTCCTCGTCGTCGAAGGTGAGCTCGGCGTAGGCGTCGAAGAAGACCGGCGTCTTCGGGGTCCGGCCACCCTGCTCCACGTCGATGAAATGCCTACACAGCTTGTCGGCGTAGCCCTGCTGGTGCAGCCACAGCTTCCTCGCCGACCTGTCGCGCACGATCTCCAGGCCGAGGTACTTCTGCACCGGTGAGATCTCGCGCAGCTCGAAGGCGGCCTCCAGCAGCTCCTTCAGCTCTCTCAGCATCGCGGTGTTGCTGCCGGCG